TTCAGAGCTCTTTTTCTTTGCGAGCTCATAAACAGAGCTTTTAAGGTCAAGCAGTTTAAGGGCTTGGGAGTGCGGTGGCAACTTTCACTGTGCGCTTCTCCCACAACACTGAGGCCACAAAGGCTCTTACGGCCTCTTCATCCCATTGTGATAATCTTCTTAGCCCCCTGACTCAACTGTTCAATATGTATAGAGCCGAAAAAAAAAAACGCTGGACTTGAGGGGCTTTGAGTGTCCTGCAGCTCAGTCTCTGGGATTTCCTCTCTCTAGGACCAATTACCACATGCAAACAGTCCGAGCACTTTGCTCTATGACATGAGGCTCCTTTGTTACACTGTGACGAGGCTTAGTGTACATCAGTCAGTCGATCAAGTTCTCAGTCACCCTACAGGTGATTATTTCCGGTCCATTTACTTTGCCTTGATGTACAAAACTGATTAGCTTATGACAATGTGGGAAAATGTGCTCAGAGGGTTTTGTAGCTCAAAATGCAACTGAATTAGTTATTTAAGTAGGTAAACAAAGCCAGAGCTTTTTTGGGTCCCCGATTTCACTTGTTATCAAGAGAATGAAAAACATATGAAGTCCTTAAGCATAAGATACAAATAATATAGAAGCAAACAACTTAAATAATACAGTCATGCTAGCAGCTTTGGGATAAATGCTAACATCAGCATAGCAACATGCTCACACTGACAATGTCAACATGCTGTTGTTTCAGCAGGTATGGTTTGTTTGTTGCAGCGGGTGAGTCTAGTGTGGAGGATTTATATCCTGTACCAGGAAATTTTTATTAAATTTCATAGACTATAGACTATTTCATAAGTTTGTAGACTCCTGATTTGAAGCCTCAAGTTTGGCATTCTGGCCGTCACCATCTTGGATATTTGGAGCCATAAATGACCCGAGGTAACCATTTCGTTGAGAGGGTGGAGCTGGGGAGTGGCAATGATGCGTGAGTTACTTGAATGAACTGAGGTGTCGCCTTGCAAACAGACTGTCAATCAAAGCAGCCCACCCTTTATTATGCATAACTTTAAGTCTAGATAACAGTTAGGAGAAATTAGCTATAGAGACCAGAACTGTTTTTTGCACCAGGCATGTTTATTTCTACTGTAAAGTTGTCATTTTAACATTGGTGTCTGGGGTTTTAACTGGCTTCTGGAGCCAGCCTCATGTGGTCATTATAGGAACTGCAGTTTTTGGCACTTCCACGTTGGCTTCATTTTTCAATCCTAGAGGTTGCCGCTTGGATATAATAATCTACTGTTTAAGAGGGTCATCCACGAATCACAGAATTGGCAGTTCAATCACCAGCTTCTTCTATCCACGTGTGTGAGTGTCCTCTGGCAAAACACTAAACTGACTGTCAGACCAGTACCTTTAATGGTAGCCTGCTGTCATTGGCGTGTGATTGGGTGAATGAGAGGAAAATTTTAAAGTGGTTTGACCTGATGATGGCGCGAGAAGAAACATGTAGGGATCATGAGTGAGACATGAATTTGTGCACTAAATTTCATGGCAATCTATCCAACAGTTGCTGAGACGTTTCACTCAAAAACAGAAATGTCACCCTCATTATGGTGCTAGAGGGAAAGTCGGGATCATCATCTGGGAACCATGAATTTCTTTACAAAGTTTGTGCCAATATACCAAATAGATGTTGAGATATTTCACTGTACATGTGACTTACACTTGCTGGTGTTTCTGGAGAAAATGTCAGAGGATCACCAAAGTCATTTAAATAAATTGTCTGGGAACCATGAATATCAACAACATTGTGAATGCTGTGGCAATACATCTGATAGTTGTTGAGATATTTCAGTTTGGACCAAAGTGGTGAGCCGAACAACTTCCGGGGCTGAAAAATGAAACCAACATGGAAGTTCTAAAAACTGCAGTTCCTCTAACGGCCACTTGAGGCTGGCTCCAAAAGCAAGTCAATCCCCATAGACACCCATGTTAAAATGGCCAACTTTACAGCAGAAATAAAAATGTTAACAAAAACTCTTTTGGTCTCTATAGCTAATTTCAACATTCATGACAACTGTACAAGGGGTGAATTTTTTTTAGAACTCACCCATTTATATCTTATTAAGGCTTAAAGTTATGCATAATTGAGGGCATGGGTGCTTGACTGACAGGCTGTCTGCGAGGCATCATCACAGATTATGAGTCAGATCCACCCTTCGCTCCTCCACAGCTCCACATTTTCTTCCAAACATCAAGAATCTAAGATGCTGACAGCCAAAGTGCCAAATTCAATCCAAAAACCAATGGGTGACATCACGCTAACAACATCCATTATCATATACAGTCTGGGACCGACCTAATGACCAACTGACCATCAGACTGACCTTGCCATCTTTCGGAACCCCAAGTTACTTGTACAGCTAAAAATTACAATTGTTTCATTGAGAGGTGAGGTTTCTCCCCTTCAGATGTCCCCCATGGGACCTTATTTAGAGAAAAAAAAAGTACAGTAGTCAACAGTCTGAAACAATAATTTTTTGATCCCATTAAATTGTGCCATCCATTTAGTTTTTTGATGTATATCTCTGGTCTTGCACAATATACGTCACCAACACCAGTGTGGCCGTTACCTTGGCATATTTCACTTCGTTCATATAGACAGACTAAAAAAGTATTAAAATATCGTAAGACTTCAATAAATAGCCCAATGGACTTAAATCACTGAAATCAATTGGCCTATATTTGAGACAGGCCTTTAATTCCTTTAACATAAAACTGTTGCTCAGCAAAGATCAGAAATACAATCACATTGTTTATTTGAATCTGTATGAATATTATTTGTTTAAAACTTTAGGCTTCAGATAATATAACAATTATGAATTATTCATTTGGTCTAGCTGATATGAATAACTTACAGGGTATTCGAGAAATGGACACATAATTTGAGGTAGCTAACAACCTGCTTTTATACATCTGAAGTACTTCTATAAAAAAAGTACTTGGCAACCAGACCAGGTGTCTAATTGAGACAGGCCTTTATTTGTCAAAATTTGTAGCCACACCAGGGAAAAAGGGACTGGGCATTTAATTGGGACTAGGCTTTTAATTGAAGTCTTACAGTAGGTGAAAATCACCATAAGTCTGGCCACGCTGAGAGCTGCAGCTATGCAAATGGAGAGTTAGTCAATTCCAAAAGAGGCATTGTAGCTTCAGCAAGAGACAGATATGACAGCCCTCATGTGACTTTTGGGTGTGTTGTCCTTCTAATTACATATTTTATGAGAATGTGACTTTCTTGACTTGGAAAATTGGCGATTAAATTGTTTTAAATTTACAAACATCATATGTGTAATTAATGGCACAATTCAAACAGGATCAAATTAGCGTATGTATTTTTCACAAATAACGTCCCATGCTGGTCTGCCAGAAGGGGAGGGACTTTGTCTCTCTATATAATCTCATTTTAAGTACATTTTTTACTTACAAGTTGTTCCCCAAACTCTCCTTTTACTCCCTCATAATTGACCTCTTTCTCTTCACTAACCCCTGCCCTGCACAATTTGTACTTTACTACTGTTTTATAAACTGTGGGACAAAGCAAAAGAAGCTAGTAGCCTGGAGTTGGTTGATAATTCAATCTGGGGGACAGAGGAGGGAGAGTGGGTGAAATACAGAGAAAACGAGGCGTTACATTTCAGGGAAGAGATAAATTGGGAGAGAGACATGCTTGGTCTAATCTCCACAATGGGGACCTGCTTACATTATTTTCGGCATGTCTTGTTGATAGTATTCACACTGTACAACATCCTATCAGGTAATATCACAGTCTTTGAAGGATTAGCGGGAATAAGAGGGGTTTTATTCTGTTTTGTGGAAGGGGATAATTCCTCTGAAATACTCTAACATTTTCATACTAATATGGAAATGGATTTTAGCTTTTTTTTTCTATGCGGAGGTTCCTTCAGGACACAGTGATAGAAGAGTGGATTTTGGTGATTGAATGAGAGTGGGAGAAACAAATAGAAACAGATAGATGGAAGGGATGTCAGCAGAAATGTTATTCAATAAAGCCATCTCTCTTGTTCTCTCTCAGTGAGAAATACTTTCAAGGCTTTTGATTTTTGTCACCCTCTCTCGATGTAGTGTTGTGGGCTACATGAACAAGTTAGCATTAGGCCTGCTAATGCCACAATGGTTAGTACAAAAGCTCTAGATAAGCCACAGCTCCACTACCTTGTTATTTTTCATAGAATGCAAATAAGAGGATAATAACGTCGGATATGATCCGCCTGAAACAGTTCTCCAATTGTTTTTGGTCCTGAGTCAAACAACAGAAAAACACCTCTTGTTTGTTTCCACGGTATCCCCCGCTGTTTTTGTTTTGCTAATATGAATATCTGGAAAGAGATGAACTCATATGTGAGACATACCAAACACTGCAGTGAAAACATCACCTTGTTAAAAGGCAATATTGCTCTCAATTAATGAATCAATTAACTTATCTAACTGCCAGGCTACTGTATATAAATCATTCATTATCATTGCTCTGCTAACCTTCCAGTGTTATCTCAGTGGTCCAATAGACGTCCCCCAGGTCCCTCTGTCTCAAGGTTGATCTGCACAGACGATGGACAAGAGACAGCTGCCCATCAGTCTCCTGCTACAGCAGGCCATTAGAGCACGGCCTGTGTTTGCGTCTGCCTGTGTGTTTGTCATTTACAGGTTTAATTAGACACTGCTGTTAATGGCGGAGATGACTTTGGGGCGATGGATGAATGACACTCTCAGGCAGCAGGGATACAATATGTTTCACTAAGAGTTGAGGAGGGGAGGCAAAGAGAGGAAGCTACAATGGAGGAGTGGAGATAAAGCGGAGGGAAGGAGTGAAGGGTGAAGGGAGGGTCATATTGATATTATTTATGAATGGATGGTTCTGTGTGTGTGTGTGAAAATGTGTATAAAACATGTGTGTGTGTGTGTGTGTGTGTTTGTTAATGAAGCCCCATACTGTATCTCTGCTGGTCCAGGTCACCTGCCGTTCCCTCTGTCGTGCTAAGGATTATCCCAGGAAGTGAATTGGAGCAACAGTAATGTGGAGCGTGCCTCTTACTGTAAGCCCGCCCAGGAGTCTCACACACACACACACATGGATTTCTGGAGAGGACAGTCCTCCCCACACATACACACACACACACACACACACACACACACAAACTGACATACATTAAACATGCATAATTCATCAAAGGGAGACAATGATGACTTTGCATGTTATCTGGTTTTGCATGTTTTGAGCTGTTGATTACAAAATCACATATAACCTGCATCACTGCTGTAAATTGTTAGCGGCCTGATGGAAAATCTCTTTGTAGAGACTTGAAACTTGTTTAAAATTCATACTTTTTTAAAGGAAGAGTGTGTAAGATTTAGTGGCATCTAACAGGGAGGATTGCAGCTTGCAAAACAGCTGAAATTTCTCAAGGCTGTAATCCTTAAGTGATCTTGTTCTGGAGGTTTTTACCTCGAGCCGAATCATCCGCAGAGGTCTCTTCCTCTCAAAAACAAATGAACCAGGTGATTAAAACCAGTAAAAACTCGAAATTAAGCAGTGTTACATTCAAAATCAGTGTTTCTCTTACGCTGATTGGCAAGTCGCTAGCCCAGCACTAACTAATGTGTTCTCACCTGATTTCTGATCCAGACATTCAGGAGGTTTTTATCACGAGTCAGCAGAGCTCTCCTCCCTTTTCCAAACAAATGGATCCACTGATTTAAACTGGTAAAAAGTTTGAATAAAGCAGTTTCACGTTACAAATCAGTGTTTTGCCAATGCTGTTTGGCATGTCGGAGTCAGGCCACTAGCCTAGCACTTGCTAATGTGTGTTCACTTTTTCTCTCTGATAACCTAAGAACCAGATGTTCATGGGTTTTTTTACCAGGCCAAATTATCCACAGAGGTCTCTTCCTCTCCAAAGCAAACATAGCCAGTGATTTAAACTGGTAAAAACACTGAATAAAGCAGTTTCACATTAAAAATAAGTGTTTTCACAATGCTGTTTGGCTTGTCATGAAGGGCCTTTTAACTATGGTGGCAGATGTGAAAACGTGAATGGCCTTATCTACAGCCAGTGGTTGGTTTGTTTGCTCTGGGCTACTGTAGAAACATAGCAGTGCAACATGGCGATCTCTGTGAATGAGGACCTGCTCCCTATGTAAATATAAACAGCTCATTCTAAGGTAACGACAACATAGCGATTCTTAATTTCAGGTGATTATAAATTAAAGAAAACATTATATTGTATATCTGCCATTATATCAAAATCAGCATTATGTGGTTTTGATTTAGTTGTTCATTGATTCCTGCAAATATGAGTTATTACCGGATTGTAGTTATAAATAAAGGTGACAAAATGTGATGGATTGTCCAATTTAAGTTTCAAGCGTGCTCAAGTTGATTTCATACTGTGAAAAAATGGAAGCCATCGCATACTTGGAACAACAAACAGTCAATAAGTCGATCAACAGAAATTTAATTGGCAACTTTTTTGATAATTGTATTAATGCTGGTTATTTGTAATGCTGGTCTCACCAAGATGTGATGCATCTCTTTGTCACACATGATAGTAAATTGAATATTTTCGGGTTTTGGATGGTTTGTTGGACAAATAAGATGTTTGAAGACATTCACTTGGGATGTGGCGAGTTGTACCAGGCATTTTCTTTTACTATTTTCTGTAACTAATAATTGGCACATTAATCAATAATGGAAATAACTATGGCTATGGAGCATGAATATATTTGTATTTCATATTTTAAAACCAGTACTTTACTGCCTGACTTGTGAACAACCAGAAAAATCCAGCAGCACTCTGTGTGATGTTATGAGTTTCACCAACTGCTGTACAGGTGCTTCCGTGCTGTTGTGCATCACAATAAAAACATGTTTTCCTGAATACACGGTGCTCATAAACAAATTAATTTATTACTTTTTGAGAATGGAAATGCTAAATATTACTAATCCAATCCCATCAATCATAATCTTTCTTCTTTTAATATTGCAAACAATAAGAACAGTGTTTTGTGATCCAAGCCAGGGAATTACACAGGACACATTTATATTATCCCCTTTTTGTGCACGTGTGTGTGCGCACACACACACACACACACACACACACACACACACACATGCATACTTCTGATCTTCCTTATAAGGTGAACATGGGATTTCTGGTAATGTCCCGGCTCCATTTTCATTTTAATCACGGCAATGGGATCAGACAAGCTGGTAGGGTGGGCTTGGCCTGGCTTGGTTGATTGTTCTGATTGAGTTTTCTTTGTTTGGCAGATATGTAATACAGCCTGCTTAAGAGGATTTGATAAGAGGAAGGAGGTTATTGTGTGATTTAATCATGTTCACTGAGGTGAACCTGCACTTCCTGACAGGCAGACAGCGACCTTAATGTCTCAGCACACAGAGGGACAAGTTTGTTGGCATTTAAACCATACTGCTGGTATGCCACAAAGCACTGTGGTGCAGTTTATGGCAGGAAATATTTGTGCCCTTTTTCCCTTTGTTCTTGAGTAATAAGTGATGTAATATATACATCCAGAGAATATTCAGACATCTGCATATTTGTCATGTTGCACCCTGATGCTTGAATTTTTTTTTTTTTTTCAAATTTCCCCTCATCAGACTACACTTAATACCCTACAAATACGAAGTGAAATTCTGCAAATTCATTAAAAAGGAGAAAGTGAAATATCACACTGATTTAAGGATTCAGACCATTTGCTGTGACACTTGAAATTAAGCTCAGGTGCCTCCCATTCCTCTTAATCATGTGTGAGGTGTTTCAATAGCTTGATTGGAGTCCACCTGCAGTAAATCCAACTGATTGGACCTGATTTGGAAAAGGACACACCTGTCTATATAAGAGGCCGTTTACACGTTGCCGGCTATTTTCATAAACGGACATTTCACCGTCTCCGTTTTCAAAAAGATCTTCGTTTACACTTACCCGTGTATATACACACAAGAGCATGCCAAACCTGTAGGTGGCAGTGTAACGAGAAGCTCAAGCCTTCCATGTATCCATTGTCACCATAGCAACATAGGTCGCACTTTTTACACAGGCGCAAGTTCCGGCGCATACTGTGACGTGGGCTGCCTATAACTCCGTTTATCTGTGTTTATCTCAGTTTACATGCAAACGCGCAACCGGAGTTTTCCAAAATCTCCACTCTGGCCGGAGTTTTTAGAAAGACTCGTTTTCAGAGGAGAAATCTCCGTTTGCGTGTAAACGAAGGGCACAAACGAAGGAAGATGTCTCCGTTTATCAAAATCACTGTGTACGTGTAAACGGCCTCTCAGAATTGAAGCACAAACATTTAGTTTGGTGGCCAACAGTGGAGGGGAATTACCTTAATTGATGGATCTCTCACGGTCCATGGGAGGAGTTAGTAGAATTGATGCCTATATTGTGTTCTCATTAGGTAAGAGCTTCCAACCACGAAAGGACTTGAACCCTTAATCTTCTGATCCGAAGTCAGAC